ATTATTTTTTGTGAAATTATCCACTAGTTTGTTATAATTATTAATACAAAGATCGGATCGAAGGATTTTTTTCTGAGTGTTCGATCTTTGTATTATTAATTATAACAAATTGTTTATTTTTTTTTGGATAAATTTACACAGGAAATAGAGAAAGGAAGAGTGGACTAACGTTAACAGGAAGTTGATATTGACTGGACACAATTTAGAAATAAAATTCAAACGAACAAACATCGCCACAGGAATTTGAATCATCCCCTTTTAACTGAGCAAACCGTTAGCAATCAATCTCGAACTAAGCTACCAACTTTGGAAAAATATACAGTGTGATAAAATACTTTTATAAACCCAACTAGATATTAATAAAGAGATCGGACAAAAAGAAAAAATTCTTTGACCTGACAGGACTCGAAACTGCGGCCGTGACGAACCAGGATTACCGCTGTACCGACAGAGCAATTTTTTTTGTATCTATCTTTAATGTTTGTTACAGATCTTAATGTCTGTTACAGATTTTACCTATTTCTGCCGCCGAGCAGTAATGTAAATGTAGTGCCCCTCAGATCTTTGCTATTTAAAGCTCTGAGTGGCACTGCTAGTGTTATGGTCAGGCAAGAACCACAGCTTACCATCAGAGGCACGACTTGTTCGTCCCGTCACCGTTTATCGTCATAAGCGACACCTGTAAGATCTGAGACTTCTCACACAGCCGGCAACTTTACAACTACCAGAGCCTGACGTGGATGTCGCTGTATTAACGCCAATATTGATTTTTCTTTTATTTAACCTATGTTTTAATAAAATTATAATAAACCAGTGGAGTGCTAATTAACCATAAAGTTAAAATACATAATATCATCATGATATTCAATAAAAATTTAATTGAAATGTTAGTAAATTCATTTGAACCGCGACTCGACCATTGGAAGCACTATTTAGTACCTAAGTTACAGATTTCAATTATAACATTGCCCCAATTACTTACACTGTGTACGTAACATAACACAACAATACACAATAGTCCACGAACGTTCCGTATCACGCTAATTGCCTTATAATCCGCGTACGTGACAAACTCGTGCGCGTGGTCGGATTAATTCCATTATGCCCGATTTAAATAGTTCTGTCTTAGTATTGTGAGTATTAATGGTTTAGGATATTGATAGTTGAATTATTTGATTTAGATAGATTACGCAATGACAATCAACTTTGAGACATTCAAACGAAATCAAATATTGCAACTAGATATTCGCTAATTACCGATATTATGATATTCCATTGACTTACAATTATATGGACGTCGGGTCCGCGCTAAAAAGTGTCCGAACTTATAGGGCGTTAAAATCGTATACAGAGCGTCATTCACGCTTCAGTCTTCGTTTGTTCTACTGACAGCGAAGCAAGCAAAATTAGACAGTACTGCGATGACATTACAATTTAAATTCAACGTTTAGCTTTTTCATATTCCTTTACATGTCACTACGTTTAAATAGGTTTACTTGGGACATTTTTTTCGTGATTTTTGTATTAGACCCGTCGTCCATTTAGCTTGTGTTCAATAATGAAATTCTTCAGTTTTTGGGCAATGGTGAAAGAATGTAAATAAAATAATATCCTATAAGGTTTTTGGTTTTACGCACTTTACTTTCTACATCATTCAAGCACTTGAAATCATTAAATTGACAAAACTCGCTTTTGTAAAGCTGATTCGTTGAAGAAGGGTAGAAAACTGACCATGAACACTTTTTTGTAAATAGAATTTGTTTACATTTTTAACACATAGATAATTTGGTGAACAGAAGGCGTAGAAGCCAAACAACAAAGTTTTCAGGACAAGTAAAAAACAAATATTTTTTCATATCATTTTCATTTTTATGCTTACCTAAAAATTCCCTTTTTTGGCGAAAAATAGTTCCTTAACGTATCTGAAAGAGCTCAAAAATGTAACCCTCCCGCATCAATAGCTCAATTATAGAAAATAGTACTAGAGAAACCCTGCGTCGCGAGTGCCATGGACACACAAATTACACCCAAACTCACTAAAGAAATCAATGTCAAATCAACAAATATACAAATATTTCTCCCGGCCCGGGAATTGAACTTGGGACCTCTACGCGGTAGTCCGGTGTGGTAACCGTTCGGACACAGAGGCAGTTGTTTATTCATTATTATGGCAAGTAAACCAAAAATAATTCTATTCATAAGAATTTTGGGTCAGGAGACTTTGTGTAAAATTGACCCAGCGTCAACAATGGCGTATCAAGTGCTAGTATTGCTTTTACTGTACATAGTTTGAGAAATAATTGATACTTACGAAAAAACTACTCGTAACAAGTCATGTACCAACGACCGCCCTGGTGGAAGTATGTATAATTTTGCTTCGCATACACTTTTAAGCAGACAGGAATATCCATCGAAGTTATGCCTAAAATCATATTTCTCTATAAAATAATATTTTATTATCCCGTACTTAGTATTAAACTACCTTGAATTCTACATTACTAATAATAGATAATTTGCATGTATTAGACCGGCCACGCGTTAGACCCAGCGGCGGCCACTAAACGCGATCACAAGTTTCGGACAAGATTTTTCATACATTTTATGTGGCATCGGCGCAAACCATCGCACACTGAGCGTTCGAATGTCTGCGTCCTAGCCATAAGCTGCCTCGTCCGTCATTGGTGTCGTTTTAGCGACTTAGTCGCTAGATTTAGGGAATTTTATTAATGTTTCCTGGGCAAAATTAAAGTTTGGTTGTAGCGTGTTTTTGACCCGTTTAATTTTTTTAAATATAAAGGCGTGACCTTCAAAGTAAATCTAAAGTTAAAAATAAAGTTATATTCGTAGGTGATATTTTCATGTCTAACGCTGGTAACATCAACGTCAAATTTGGCGAAATGGACGATTTCTAGCCACACTAGCGGCCGCGACTCGTGGCCACGTCCAGCCACTAGTGGTTGCAACCAGTGGCCGCATCTAGTGGCTTGACTCAGCCATAGTAGTGATGTTTATAGACCGCATTTATGGCCCAGCGTGCGGCACTTACAGCCTGACAACTCTTTAAATAGTCTAGGTTATTCGGTTTCGCTGCTTACTTTAGCTCTAATAGTCAGTCCTGTAGTTGTCAAAATCTTGAACTGTAAAGGTCTTTCTAAAATAGTCTGCTTAAGAGACAGCATTAAATCTTCCGATTTGAATATCCGACCATCCGCTGTTCTTGTTTGATCATGAATAGAAACTATTAAATACAAATGCAAAACTTACAAATACAAAGCCTCCTGAAATCTCTCCCAAATCTCTCGCTTCTGTCGATGATGAAGCTTTCTCCTCGAAAGAGCAGCTCTGAATTTCTCATCAGGTAAGTGGAACACGAAGTCCAAATCCATTGCGAGATACCAGCCTGCTGGCACATGGGTCTGGAAGGTCGTGGCCGCGTCTATTGTGATCTAAATAGTACAAACTACTGAGATTTAATGACAAACTATACCAAAAGACACGGAATAAATGCACTGGCAGAAATGGTATCAAGCGGCTTTGTTCCAAAGTCAGTGGCGCCAAAAGCATACTTTTATAAACTTAATCCTACATTACATTTAATATTGGTATGGTAACCAGATCAACACTGTGAGATGGGCTGACAGACTCTCAGAGCAATATTGGTTGGAATGCGGGGTAAGACAGGGCGGACTGACTTCGCCCAAGCTTTTCAATCTGTACATAAATGACTTGATTGCGCAACTCAGTTTCATGCGCATGGGTTGCTACGTGGATGATGTCTGCGTAAATAATTTAAGCTACGCAGACGACATGGTGCTGTTGGCTCCGTCAGTTAGCGCATTAAGGAAACTCGTGGCAGTCTGTGAGTCATATGCCGCGTCACACGGTCTGGTTTATTATGTAAAAAAGTCTGTGGTCATGGTATTTCCAGCAGGACGTAAATGTCCTGTGGATGTTCCACCGATCACTCTAAAAGGGATTGTTCTGGACAGAGTGCATAATTTTAAGTATTTGGGACATGTCGTTAGGCCTGATCTCAAAGATGATAATGATATGGAAAGGGAGCGGAGAGCTTTGTCAGTAAGAGCGAATATGCTGGTTCACAGGTTTGCTCGATGCTCTTCTGAAGTTAAGGTAACTCTTTTCAAAGCCTATTGTACATCTTTTTACGCGGGCAGCCTATGGAATAGGCACACGCAAAAGTCGTACATTGCTCTCCGCACCCAATACAACAATGCTTTTAGGATGCTGTTGCGTCTGCCGAAGTTCTGTAGCGCTTCTTCCATGTTTGCTGAGGCGCGGACGGATTCTTTCGCAGCAATCATAAGAAAGAAATCAGCTTCTCTGCTGAACAGACTTCGCAACAGTAGCAACAGCATCCTCAAAATGATTGCTGCTAGAGTGGAGGGGCCTCTAATGAGGCACCTCATAAATTGTACTAGATCTAAGTTAGAAATAATTTACTAACATAGTTTATAAGTCTGTTACTAATACAAAGTGGGCCTTGTTGTCTTTAATAAACGATATTATTATTATTATTATTATTACATACTAAGATAACATAGTCTTGATAGGATATAATTATCAAACGAAATTAGATAAAAAGCACAAATTAATCTTATTTCAATCCAGTATAGTTTACTACGAACGTAAAACTGACTAATAAAAAAAAAATATTAAAAAAATAAAATAATTTATGTTATAATCATTCAATCACCGCTTCGCATGCCATTAGAATTCGCACAACAGTTGTCACGCGGGTCTCACGTAGAGTAATGGAAGTAACGATCAATCCACATGAATTTATTGTAGAAGTATAACAAGATAAAGGTGAAGAAAGGTTAGAAAGAAATGACAGTTTGTAACAAAAACACGTAGGTGTAAAAGCCGGTACAATAATAATAAAAAACACTCCCTACAGATTAGAACTGATTAGTTTATTATTAAATTATTGAATTTACACCAAAACGGCCTGTATTCATATTATTGCCGCTTATAAGCATTTAGATTACAAGATAAAGAGCACGTGTGCTCGCCTCGACAATTTTGTATGGAGCAAACGGGGCAAAGTAAGAATGACAAAGAAAGAGAATTAGAGAACAATTGAAAATTGCAAAAGTCAGTGGCCGGGGACCAGAGAAAAGGGTGATAAAAGGGTGGGATGACGATGAAAGACGTTGCATCATCATACAGTGATTCAAAAACAGACAGTCCATCCTGTTGAGATATAGGTTTGAAACCATTTTCAGGATGCTAAATGCCTGCGCTCTAGTGAAGCCATTTTTACACATTGTTGGGTAAAAACAATCAACGCGCGCCAATGCAGACATCCGCGAAGCACTGAAATATCGAGCCAGAACCAACAATACCCTATAAGCATTATACTGCACTTTATTCTATTAAAAGCTTAGTATTTGCTTTTGAAGTTTTGTTACTCAACACCGTGGTACTACATTCAATAGTTCTTATGCAAATTTACCTAAAAATACGTCCACTTGATGGACAATGTCTGCTGCCACAGGTTTATTGTTTATTTAGAACATTTATTTATTTATATAGAACATTAATTAAAGAATGAAAGAAATTTACCTTTGTAACCTTGTAAATTTTACTTCAATACACAGATCATATATCTGACTTACTGCAATGCTTTCTATAATGAAATCATAGTATTTAATTGAGTTGTGGATGATAGAAATATGGGCTTCATATGCATCGAACTTGTTGACACTTGTTATCGTTCCAGATAAATATATCTGTAGCAATGATAGTGACAGCTCCATCAGGGGTTGAAATCCACAGAGAAATGCGATATAATTAGATAGGGCCAACACCTGTAGCTAATACCGTAGCTATCCTACCTGGCACAATCACCGAAACTGCCAAACCAACACCATACAGAAGAATTTGCTAAAACATTACATTGAACAACTTTACCAGATTAGTTTAGAACTGTAAATTTAGCTTACCGTAAATGTACTTCCATCTGGAAAAGCCAATGCCCTCTTTTTCCTAATTGTTCGTAAATCGGCTTTCAATTGGGACACTGAGCACCAGACTTTGTACTATCGCACAGAGCAATTAAAAATAACACAAAAATTGATTTTCTCCTTAGTGCAACCATGTTTGTTTAAGTTAATTATATTTTTAAAAGCATTTAAATGAAGTTGCAAAGTGTCTCCATTGATTTTCAATCGCCCACAGCCGTAAAATTACAGTATATACCTATAAATAAACTTAAGATTCTAAATACTGATTGTGTCGGCGGAAGTCGTGAACAGTAGGGGTGTAGAATTACTTTTTCGTGTACGAAATTTTTTAGATCATTTCTTTTTTATAGTTCACTGCCGCCATGTAAATTTACCAGTCCTCACTGGGCCAGCGTATTGAGCCATCATTTCTACACGCGCAGTTATTTTTATTTTGTTTATTTAGTACCTTTGTTAAAAATGTAAATAAAATTTCTTCTATATTCATCATCTGGTTGGTACTACTGTACAGCGGAGTTAAACATCTTCTTTTTCATCTTTTTTCTCGAATAGTGATTTCGCAGCATTTATAGCATCAACAGTTAAACCTCTCATCAATGCCGGTGTCGACTGTAACTGGATTTTGAAGTTTAGTAAGACCAATTTTTTATTCGGTTTAAAAACTTAATACCCCGTTTCGGTAACCCTAGAAGGCGTTCATTACCAAATCACGACCTTGTTGTAACATTGCACCGTCACGGTAAAGATCACTTAAAGGTACTAAGTAACGAAGAATGACTAAATTAAGGTGAACAATTTTCAGACGTTTTGTCGTTAATAGCTCACGTTGTAGTCCACGGCCTAGACAATAACCACGCAATATTTCGTGCCGTGATAGATTCTGAAACTTCCTTTGATAGTATAATGATATGATAATATATACACATGAAAATAGTTTGTGGTTTGTTTGCGAGAGATCATCAAAGTGCGGAAGTTGATGTGTGCATGGATGTATGCGAGTATTTGGACGTATATGTGTGTATGGATGTACGCGATTGTGGGGACAACTGCGAGTGTGTGGATGCAAATTTCCTTATCTGGAGAACACCTATAGACGTCATCGTCATCATCAACTCATTTTGTATGTCCCACTGCAGGAGACGGGTGTCCTTTCAGGCCGTAGTCCGCTACACTGGCCCAATGCGTTTTCCCAGGGTTGTGAAACTTTTTTCACGTGCAAGTTTCTACACGATGTTTTCCTTCACCGAAGAACTTATGACATATTTCGAATTAAATTCTCAAAAATTCTAAGGTACGAGAACGGATACGATACCACGGCCTCTTCTTCAGAGGTGGTAGGTCAGAAAAATGGCTTAAGAGGCAGTAGACCGTACCATTAGAACCATATGCAACATACGCAAAACACACAATACGTTCCTACATACAACAATTAAACACTTTATTGTTTCATACACATTTTTTATCGTTTTACACTCGTATTAAGTATTATTTAATTTAGTTTTAAGAACTATATTCATTATAATAATAATTGTATTTGCTCACACATATAAGAAAATTGACACTTTAAGAATACCTATATATTTTGAACGACAAAAGAACAGTCCCATATCTTTCTACATAACTTTTTTGTTTATATCCCCTCCCTATCAACCTCTTGGTTATGCGGGAAGGCACTATGACCTGTGCGAGCGAGCTCGCACTTAAACTTGCTAAGATGATAACTTAGATGGTCCATTATCCGGGGTTAGGAACCCCGGATCAGCACGTTTGCACGCACTTCATCTGGTTCTCTGTAAGGCTAGTGCCTTAGGTGAGCCGCCCCGGCTGCACGTACAGCACCCTCCCTATTTTCCAGATAGGTACCGGAGCTAGGAATTAGCGCACTACGCCTCCCGCTCCGATTGGCTTTCCTCTAACTCAAATGTTGTCTGGAAGAGATCGCTCTTAGCGATAAGACCGCCTTTGCCCACATTAGTTTTAAGTTGTTTATGTACTATTCTTGTTCTAGTGTGTAAGCAGTAAAGTGTTTATCTATATATCTATCTAGGCACGCTCACTTCCCGTCGCGCTCCGCACGACTAACGGTTGCCACCGCTGAATCGCCGACTCTAAGACTACCAAATCTCCTCATTGGTGGCGGATCTGTAAGGCACGCTCACTTCCCGACGCCGAATGAACGGCGTCTCTCCAGTTTCCAAATTCCTGGAGCAGCTGGAGGGACCGAAAGATGTCTAGCTCATCCTCTACTAGCTCTCCAGGCTACTGCCGGAGATGCCAAGTGGCAGTGTCCTGCGACAATGTCCGGACATAGCCACCGACTTAAAGGGCAACTCACGCGCCCTGCGCGTTTCCTCGCCTCAGGCCCTCAACTAGACCGCTTCCTCGCCTCAGGCCCTCAACTAGACCGCTGCTAAGACGCGCTAGCTGCGCGGGACACACCCTACCGGGGAAGACGAACGTGTTCATCCCTGCAGCTAACCACAAACCCCGGCGAGTCCATACCCAAGTCCGGGTCCGCCAGAGACGCCCATGAAGACGTATAACTGGCGGAGGGCTTGGCCCGGACACCCGCCGTACCCTGGTCTTGCCGTCGAGCCCATAGTCTCTCCGGAAAACCCTATCTCTCGGATCGGTAGATAGGGACAACGAGAAAAGAACGATAAAAATAACATAAACGTCGTTTAATAGCTTTTTTACTTGAAACCACAACCACTGCCGACTGGCCCATTGTCGGGAAATACCATCTTGGTTATTTAAAAATTCAGAATTTAATTTTCAGATCGTGGAAGAAGCGAGAATTTACGAGAATGCCAACGAAATTCAATCGTTATTTCTGAGCGAATCTGACTTAAAATAACTCATTTATTGACCTAACAATTACTATATTGTTTTTATTGTGTCAATGTCGTAAAAAACTGAATTAAACTATTTATACAAGAGGCGGCTGAAAAGTAATCTCTTTTGACTATTTCCAATTAAAATAAAATACTCACCACTATTGTGACGTGTTTGCTATTAGTTCTTATTTCAAAATTAAGTACCTACGTTTCGTTTTGCATGAACATGTTGGAAAAAAAATATTTAAAAGTTAGTAACAACTTTTTTAAACAGACTAATGTTCCTTTCTAACAAGAAGTGCATTTCACTCCTAAGTATATTTAAGAAAAGAAGTAGTCGTAGTTGTCTTTTGTTTCATACTTGTAGATTACTTTCAGTCGCCCCTCCTAAGTCAATGCGACATGCTGTACTCGTAGGTACATCAGGTACATTATTTGTAAAGAACGTTCCCGTGCATATCATTACACTCCGGATACAGACGAGCACAATCACCAGGTCTTCCGTGAGCTAAATCGTATTCCTCGTGCACATCCGAAGCTTTGTTTCTCCGTGGAAAGCTGTAAAATAAAGAAATGCTTTTAGTCGACCATAATTAATAAATCATTTCTTATCTTAATCTTTGATCTTTTCCTTGTTTACTTTCGTTTTATTATTCCTTTGTATAAATAAAAAAATGCGAGATGCCTTTCGTAATGCCGCAAAAGGGTGCTAACGGCATGCCATACTAATTGCGTTTTTTGTGTGGACAGTCTATTTACTGCTGTCGGTGGGTGTAATTTGACCGTAAAAAAAACATTTAGATAATGAGCTCCACACATTTTCACGGGCTCCAGTAATATTACAACATCATCAACGATACACCCCACTGCTATTCACGGATTTCTAAGGAGCGTAGGCGATAAGTACGCTACGCTGCCTCAATGCGGGTCATTACCAAAGGTTGTATCGCTACCAGAGATGAGCAATGGGTTAAAACCCAATCAACCCGCTCAGTTTTTAAGAGGAATTTCATCCAAAAACGGATTAAACCGGATCCGTTTTACCACTTTTTTTTAGGTACTAAGGACGTAAAATCGATTCAAGTGCATACGATCTAACGATATTTTGTATCGATTTATTACAATGCGATTTTCAAGCGATTGTATAGAAAGGCAAATCGAATCTTCTAGATCAGAAAACAATAAACATTTTGTAATAATATCTTCAATTTGAACGAATCGATTTACTACAAATATTTAGTTGTAAATACATAGCATTACGGTTTTGAAGCGTTAAGGGTGCTGGTGGAGTTACAGGCACATGAGACTTGTCAACTTGTGACTCGGAGTTACTGACGCCGGTGCGTGATTTCAACCTCTGAGTGGCACTGCAACTGTTATGTACAGGTCTGTCGCTTACCATCAGGTATACGACTTTTTAACCGACTTCAAAAAAAAGGATGAGGTTCTTTATCTGACTATATATTTTTTTGTATATATGTTACGCGATAACTCCGGTACTTGTGAACCGATTTTGATGATTCTTTTTTTGTTAGAAAGAGAGTACCTTCATAGTGGTTCCATTTAATTTTGAAGAAAATCATCCACCTCTAAGGGTGGCTGTTCACGAATGAAGATTAATTTTTATAAATAGCGCCTAAATTTTGTTATAAGGAGCAATTATTTTAATGGTTGATTTTGCTATTCTCCAATTCAAGGCGTTTTTCTCTCTCAATATACTTGAGTAGTGAGAACCGATTTTTATTATCTCCCGTGTTAGGTTCCGTATAGTGGCGAACTAGGGGGTTATCCGGGTTTGCACACTTTTCGGTAACTGATTTCAATAAAACTTGGTAATTATATGTAATTCCGCGTATTTTTGAGGTTGGTTTTTTTAGAACTCTGTACTGAGATTATTAACGCACACACTCAACATAGCCCCGCACTAGGGAAACCCTGTGTCGCGGGGACACACACATAGACAACCACGAATTACACCCAAACTCCCGAGAGAAACAAATGTAGGCCATACAAATATTTCTCACGGCCCGGGAATCGAACCTGGGACAGGCAGGCAGGAGGCGGTTAACTTGTTCGTCCTATCAATTGGTATCCCATAAAACTTTCGTAAACGTTTTCTTTTAAATTTTTAATTTAAGTTTCATCATGTTTATTTGACTATGCTCAAATGACCTAGTAACATTCTACATAGTACTTACGTGAAAGTGGCTCTCATGATTTCTTCTAAAAAGGTTCCCTGCTCAGCACGCAACCTTGAACTTTCGCATAGAGATCGAAGCACACACTCTTTACCATTATAACCGAGTCTGAAACGAAAAATAAGTTCAACTCCAGTATATTCTAAGATTATGGTTCAACTCAACTTAAATGTCATAATTAAACAAATTACTTTGAATTTCATAATAATTTACAATTCACGTAAATGAAAACTTATTTGTAAATTTATTTTAATTTATAAATTTTATTTATCGCGTAACGTACATAAAAATACAGTCGAATTGAGAATCTTCCTCCTTTTTTGAAGTCGGTTAAAAAGATAAATTATGCTTACAGTTTAAAAAACGTCTCAAGTTTCTCATAAAGGCTTTGTCGCCCTTCTCTGTGGAACTTTATACTGTTTTCTTCTAAATTGTAAAGATAACTGCGATTTTTCTGCACCTCATGCAATTCTCTGATCGAAATTGGTTTAACTTCTGAATCATCGATACTGCGTTTTCCAAATGCAGGGTTGACAATAAGGTTTCTGCAATCAAATAAAGAATTCATCGCCTAATTTTTATTATACGTTCTAATCCTGGACACGAATCTAACCTAAGGACAGAGTTTAGCCCATAGTTCAAAAAACTCAAATAAGACTGCTAACAGGCTGACTAACTAATTAATTACATTGCCCGAAACGTCGGTTTATTTGAAAAAACAAATATACGCGATTTAAATGCGGAAAAATAGTTTCATTTCCTATGTGTAACAATCGCGAAAACCTAAGAACTCGATAACTAATTAATTAATTTAATAAACTTAATTTATATAATTGAAAAGTGACTTGACTGCATGCTTGCAGTAATCACATTCATGCAGCGGCTGCGTGAACTGCATGCAGTCGAAACGGACTTCCTCTTTTCAGTATTTTAATATTTTGTTTACATTAAAATTTTAGTATTTTAATATTTTGTACACATTGTTTGGGAAAAGCACTACATAAACCTCGGCGGAAACGGAAATTGCTGGGCTAATACTAATAACTCATACTCGTCCAGCAACTATACGACTATACTTTAAAGTCAAATTTCACTATGTTACTTAAATTTGAGATATTATGTTACTTAACAGGATTAATCCCTACAATGGGTCCTTTCAATCGGCATCATAAAAAAAATACACGAGTTCTTTTTTATATTCGGTCGGTTCGACCCTCGGGGCAATAATGAAGTAAATGAAGCAAAATATCTTATCTACAATATTAAAGTACCTTCCTTCTGTGTCGCATAGCGGTGGGTAACCTGTATGTTAATTTGGTATTTTTTTTTTATATTATTAATCTATATTTCAAAACATAAATACAGTGACTTACTTCTTGTACGGTACCACATTCAACACCTTTCCTTTCTCACTCAAATAGACGATCTCCTTTGAGTCCTGTCTCTTCTCGGCATTTCCATAGAGCTTGCTACTTTTCTTTAAAATGTTAAACAGCATAGGATCCGTTGGTAGTTCCCAGGCCAACGCTGCTGTGTTCGAGAACCACACTATATCTCCAAGTTGAAGGTAGCCGTGATTTTGAGTTTCGAACACTGGAAATATTTAATAGAACTATAAATCAAATTAATAGTATTCTGAATTATTGGTTTTAATTTATGATTTTTACATTTAAGTCGCCGCCGTAGAGCTCTTATGAAAGAGTTTTTCCAGGGAAGTACTGCCACCTTCCTATTTCTGCCGCCAAGCAGTAACATGAGCGTTATTACGTTCCGGTTTGGAAGACTTGTCAACTTATGTCTCAAAGTGACCCCGTGCCATTTTTTGTCTTGTTTTGGGTAGAACTGTTCCCATGCTTATTATATTATTATTATTTATAACGCACACGCACAACGCGTACACACAGCCCCGCACTAGGGAAACCCTTTCTCGCGGGTGCAATGGACATACACATACAAAACCACAAATTACACCCACACTCACGAGAAAAATAAATGTAGGCCACACAAATATTTTTCATGGCCCGAGATTCGAAACCCGCAAACGTATATTCCGAAAACTATAATGCCGTAAATAGTATGATAATGTAATTGTTAATTTTATTTATGATGATTTTCTAGGGGTCGATTCCGACCTACAATAGGTCAGTGTCAGCGAAAAAAAATAGAGGATATCATGAGATATAAATGAGTGTAGACACGAGAGTGGGACCCTATTTAGGGCGGTCGTGACTAAAATTTTTACATTCCATAAATAGAGAAATCCACGTAACACAGATAGTACCCATGTACCTACTTAAATTATACTTTCTTATAATTTGCATATGAATTACCTATAATAATAATATAATAATAATAACACACACACTCAACATAGCCCCGCACTAGGGAAACCCTGTGTCGCGGGTGCCATGGACACACATATAGACAACCACAAATTACACCCAAACTCACGAGAGAAACAAATGTAGGTCATACAAATATTTCTCCCGGCCCGGGAATCGAACCTGGGACCTCTGCGTGGCAGTCCGGCATGGTAACCGTTAGGCCACAGAGGCAGTAGATGGACTAAACAATTTTAAACTAAAATATTTAAACAGGTGTGGCCGAACGATTACCATCCTGGACTTCCACGTAGAGGTCCCGGGTTCGATTCCAGGCCTGGTAGTAATATTTGTATCGCCGACATTTATTTCTCCCGCGAGTTTGGCTGTAATTTGTGGTTGTCTATATGTGTGTACATAGCACCCGCGACACAGGGTTTTCCTAATGCGGAGCGATGAGTGTGTACGTTTTTTTTAAAGAGGTTAAGATCTGTCTGGCTCTTAAATATAATAATGAAAAGATTTTGCTATCAATCTGCGGTCGGTACCTTTCCGTTAAACTGATATCGAAAGCACTTCACGTCGATTTAATGAGTAAATCGACTTCAATAACTTTTTGGAAATAAAACCAAAAATATCCAAAATTTTAATATTAAACGATCCCATACATTTAATATGACATTCGTAGAGAGGCTTTAGTTTTCCTTCTGTAATAGGTAACAATAAGTTGACAGACAACGAAACTACTTTTATAACTAAAACTAGCTTATAAGTAATAAAACTAGCTTTTGATTGAATAAAAATATGATTAAAATATGGTTAAGTTTACGAGTGTCCAATAAAAATGAATAAAATTGATAAAAAAAATTTTTTTTTATTTTAGTGCTGATCGCCTCAGTTTCATATAAGGATCATGTCATTATACTGGATGAAAATAATCGGGACAGCAGAAGTTGATCAAATTTAATAAAATGTTATTCAGTTTGTACGAAAAAAAAAATTTAATAAATTTGACCTGTCTGTTAACTTATTGTTACCTATTACAGAAGGAAAACTAAAGCCTGTCTACGAATGTTATATTAAATGTATGGGAGGGTTTAATGTTAAAATTTTGGATATTTCTAATTTTATTTAAAAAAAACTTATTAATGTCGATTTACTCATTAGGTAACGTACTTTCGATATCAGTTTAAAGCTTTTTGACATCTCTTATATTTACGGAATAATCGCCTGGGCACACTTAACGATTACACCCTGTATGCTGACGTGTGGTGTTATGAATTTCCACCTTATATTAATTCAATTCTCCTAAGTCAAAGAAGAACATAACTGAACATAAAATGCGAACGACGTACGAATTCATACTAAACTAGAATGTACAAATAACACAAGAAACATCTTAATATTATTTAATATCAATTAATTTCATTTGAAAAGTAAAGGGTTTCATTGACATCAGTTTTATTGTAAATAAATATTGCAATTCAAAAAGAAAAATATTACCCAACTGAAAGGAGCTCCCATCAGGAAAAATCAGGAACCTCTTTTTTCTGGACAAAATTTTTGTTGATTGTTCAATTTCTTCTTCATTCGCTTCAATGTTTTCCATATTTACCAAACATAAAGACGCTAGTAAAGTGACAACAAGTAGATGTTTCAAGCATTTCTTCGCCATCTGAAAGAACATGTATGAAATTTAACATTGAAATCATTGACTTACAAATAAATGGACGACGGGTCCAATACAAAAACCACGAAAAAAATGTCCCAAGTCAACCTATTTAAACGTAGTGACATGTAAAGGAATATGAAAAAGCTAAAACGTTGAATTTAAATTGTAATGTCATCGCAGTACTATCTAATTTTGCTTGCTTCGCTGTCAGTCGAACAAACGAAGACTAAAGCGTGAATGACGCGCTGTATACGATTTTAATGCCCTATAAGTTCGGACACTTTTTAGCGCGGACCCGACGTCCATATAATTGTAAGTCAATGATCGAAATACACATTTGGAACTAATATAGCCGAAACAATTCAGCTAAGACTATGCGCGCATAAGTTAAATCATAACTATACCAATCCTTTCATATGCACATCAGGCGCAGGACGGGCAACAATCAGCTAGTACCTTACGCCGATTCGCAATTACTTTCACCACGATGTAAGCATTATAATGTATGCCATCGAAACGATAAAAAGTAGATCAGTAAATATAGAACTAACTTTTAATTCAAGTTGTAACCCATTTTTTTAAATTCCAATCGTAACCCATTTGTTGTCTCTGGTTATTACGGCCGGGGCTTATGATGCTACAGAGTCGGACATGTTCGTCTGTTTCGTGTGTGGCCGGAGAGTCTATCTTTAGCGGTCTAGACGTGAGCCTACGGCGAGGAGATGGTAACTTATCACAAACTCGAAAATTTTTTGTCCGAAAAAACGTTTGTTCGAATTTACATAACACTGAAAATTATAATGAAACAGTTGTTCTTTCAGGATATGTTGAATGTTTATCGCAAAGACCCGATTAGGTTTGGTTAAAGGTTTAAAAGGAAAAACATTTTCCTCCCAAAATTAACGTCGAGGTTATGAAACCAACGACTAAATATTATTTCTGGAAAATGTCATTTCGGACTATTGATAATTAGTCCAAGGAGACGCATGGGGCACGTGAGTTACTCTTTAAGTTGGAAGCTATTTCCAGACGTTGTCATAGAACACTGCAACCGACATCTCCGATACTTGCCCGAAGATCTAGCAAAGAATGAGCTAGACATTATCCAGTCCCTTCAGGCGCGTAGATTTTTGGGAACTGGAGAGACGCTTCGGCGTCGGGAATTGAGCGAGTGTGACAACTGCGCTACCAAAGAGAAGATTTGGTAGTGGACTTTACAGGCAACAGCTTAGTGGTGGCAACCGTTAGTAGTGCAATGCAGAATGAGAAGTGGTACCCGAGGCACTAGCCTCCTGCGAACCGGATCAAGTAAATAACAACGGTCTGTGACAATCTGTACACTGACTGACCCGGGGTCAGTATCTGAACTTAGACCCTGTGCTGGCACAGATAGTGCCCTTCCCGCATTATTATAGAAGCGTGTACCTTGAATCATAAATGAATTTGTGAAGACTACTGTCAAGAACAGTCACTTTGTTTTTTATTCATCGTATTAATGCTATTTTTATCACTATTTTCCATAATAAAAATTACTATTCTTTTTACCATAAATTAAATTTCCATAAATATACTACG